ACCTACTTTTTCTACAAGTAAGAAAGGAGCATGCAGAGGGGCTTTTGTACTGGGGAGGGCCTTACAGGGTCCCGCTCAGTTTCAATCCCATTTCTTTGATACTCCTCAACCCTGAGGGGAACAGGGGCAGGACAAGAAAGGGAATAAGGTTTTGGATAGAGAGGATAATCATAAACTCAGCATGGAAACTCAGTTTTGGGGAAACTTGGTTTTATAGGCAGTAAATGGGAGAGATCCCAGAAAACTGAGTAACTCCCTGAAATGGCATAAGTTACCACCTTAACTATCATCTTATAAAGACAAATGATATTGAGGGTGGAGGGAGCCAGTTATTCAAGATGACCAGGAAAGCCACAGTAAACAAGGATAAGATTGTTCTGCAGATTTAACTTGTAGCCTTCTCCATTGATGGTGGCTTCTCCGATGGCTTAGCAGGTAAAGAATCTGCCTGCAATGCAGGAGACACAGGAGATGCAGGTTGGATCCCTGGATCTGGAAGATCCCCTGGAGGAGGAAATGACAACCCACTCCAGTATTCTTGCCTGAAAAATCCCATGGACAGAGGAACCCAGTGGACTATAGTCCAAAGGGTGACAAAGAATAGAACATGATTGAGTGACTAAACACGCACACACGTCTCCATTGATAAGTGTTACTAGAGATTTGGAGTCATCTTTCTCTTCCTTGTACAGAGAGGGAGACACCCTTACAAATGGCAGTTTCCCTTACAAATGTAAATATCTCTTACAAAAGCACAAGTTCTCCTATGTCTACTGTTTCTTAAAAATAATTGGCCTAAAATAATCCTTATGCCAACAAGGCATATTTTGGGGTGACAGATTCTGTTCCCCTTCACTGCCATGCTGACTTTTCTCCCCACAGATGAGATCTGCCTGGTGTTGAACTACTGAACTCATTGACTGTGCAACTCACTTAACATATGCAAGATTTTCTGTGGTGGCAGCAGCTCTTACCTGCTTGGTTTGTACTTATACCACCCTCCTGAATTGTTCTCTAACCTTCCATTTGTTTGACATGTCTCCCTAGCTAGATTTTAAGCTCCTTGAAGGCAGAGCTTGCCCACAAGTCTAGGATTTTCCCATGCAATAGGCAATACTGTAATAAGAGTTCCAGTAAATATTTGTGGAATGAATGCTAGTGTTGAATGAATGTGGCAGGGGGTGGGGCAGGAAGAAGCAGTAAGCAGATAGTCAGATCAAGACAAAGGCTTCTCTCTTCATTCTCCCCCATACACTTGCCATTTATTTTTACTGATAACACTGTATAATATTGGGATTGTGCACTGTTTTTTTGCTTGTGGGCAGTCATGCATGCATTTCACTTTCAGGTTACATCGTGAGTAGGACAGGAGTGGATGCAAAGAATATGAAGTACAGGAGGAGAAAAGGTCAGATGGCCAAGCCAATGAGCAAGCTTGCTCGGGCCTGTGCTGTCTAACCGCAAATGCTAGCCCTCACTTTGCCAGGAACTTGTGTGATCTTAGGCAAGTCACCACACCTTTCTGAGCTGCTAGTTGGTGGTATGACAGAGATCATAATTTGACTCTGCATTCCATAGCAGGTCAGCTGAGTTCATAGCTGGGAAAAGTATTTTGGACAAAAAGAATTTAGGGTACTGTCTCAACAGGCAGAAAGGTGGGTAGGATCACCAAGCCAGTTAGATGAGGTTTCACACTTAAGAATCAAGCATGACTTGGAAGAAAGGTGGCGAGGCTGAGTTCCTAGAATCACAGAATCTTAGAGCCAGCAGGCATCTTAGAAACCATTCTCGGACTTCCCTGATGGTACAGTGGATGTAAATCAGCCTGCCAATGCAGGGGACATTGGGTTTGACCCCCGGTCCAGGAAGATTCCACATGCTGTGGAGCAACTAAAGCCTGTGTGCCACAATTACTGAACCCGAATGCTGCAGCTACTGAGGCTCATGTGCCGAGTGCCTGTCCTCCATGACAAGAGAAGCCACCACAATGTGAAGATTATGCACTGCAACGAAGAGTAGCCCCCCCCCCCATCACTGCAACTAGAGAAAATACACATGCAGCAATGAAGACCCAGAGCAGCCAAAATAAATAAAGCTAAAAAAATAGCCATTCTAGTCCACTCCCCCTCATCTTACCTGAGTACATGGAAGCACAGAGAGATGACTTTCCCCAAGGTCCAGGTTTCCTTTTCACTGCACTTCAAGGTTCTACTTTAAAAACCAAGTTCGTTTGCTTTTCTTACTATTCAGAGACAAGAAGCCAATGGGCTGTGCCCTAGCAAGGAAATGATCAGGACATTTGTTTGAAGCTTTTTGAGTTTCCAAATGTGACCCACTGTTTCAGCTCAATTATTGTTTAGCTTTTATCTATGGGGACAACAGACTTTCCTTCGAGGCTCAGTGGTAAAGAATCCATCTTGACTGCCAACGCAGGTGATGGGGATTCAATCTCTGGGTGGGGAAGATTCCCTGGAGGAGGAAATGGCAACCCACTCCAGTATTCTTGCTGGGAAATCCCATAGACAGAGAGCCTGGCAGGCAGTAGTCCATGGGATGGCAAAAGAGACAAAACAACAACAGTAACGGCGACAACACTCTCCTAGTGTCTGCGGAGTGCCTACTATGTTTGCCACGCTAGGTGCTGAGGAGGGTTTAGAAAAGATGAAGACCCATCCCTGCTGTCAAAGATCTGAGTGTGGGAGACAGAACTAACAATGAGAGAACAATGGAAGGCAGTAAGTGATTCAGAATAAAATGAATAGTGCAGGCAATAACTGCTGTTCAAGTTCACAGGAGAGAGAGCGCTCTGGGAGCTGGGTGTTGGGGGTTGGGGAAAGTGCAATTTCACATGGGCTTTGAAGGCGGGATAGGATTGTTTATGCAGATGTGGGGGAGGGCACTGAATGTGTGTCTGCATGGGTGGGGGCAGGGGGCTGCTGCATGAATGCAGAACTACATGGGGATTAGGGATAGCATTTATTGAGCACTTTTTATGCACTGGCTACACAATTCATGTAAATGTGCATAATCCTAGGAATTAGATAATAGATCACTGATAACTGTTTGGTTGAGAGAGGGAAACTGAAATACAGAGAGGTAAGTTGCCCAAGGTGACACAGCAAGTAAATGGCATAATTATTATTAGTATCCCAGAGTTGTCAAACACTTGGCTATTCTACCTTTGAAAGAGAGGAATTTGTGCCTCAGGCGAGGAAGCTGGCCTGGTACTAAACACAGTCATTTTGCAAACGTAAGACCCTCTAGGCCCACCTCCCAAAATAGTTCCTTATGGATTGGTGGTTTAGTTGATAAATCCTGTCCGACTCTTGCAACCCCAAGGACTGTAACCTGCCAGGCTCCTCTGTCCTGGGATTCTCCAAGCAAGAATACTGGAGTGGGTTGCCATTTCCTTCTCCAGGGCATCTTTCTGTCCCAGGAATTCAACCTGGTCTCCTGCATTTGCAGGCAGATTCTTCACTGACTGAGCTAAGAGGGAAGATTTCTGCATGGATTAATGAAGCCTTTTACTGAGTGCTATCATCTCCTTCTTACTTTCTTGAAGACAGGAACTTGAGGTCTCAGGCTACAGTCATCACCAGAACGCCAGTTATCCTTGATGTTACTTTGCAGAGGATTTAACAAAACACCGACGGAGAACGAGTGAGCTGCTGAATCAATCCTTGTTTGTTGTTGTTCTTTACTAATTAGCACTTCGAGAGCATCAGGCCCTAAGGTGGATGCTGTCTGTGCAAAGCTTCCTGGCTCTGAGGCCAGGTGGGAGAAAACCAGACTTGGAAAGGATGGCAGGAAAATGGCTGGCAGCCAACACCAGAAAGTGTTTCCCAGGCAAGGTGCCTGTTTTGTTTTGTTTTTTTTCCTGGCTATTTTCCTCTTTGTGAGTCTTCAATAGATATTAAACCAACACAAAGTGGATTCTGAAAAGGTCTTTCTCCTGTTTCCTTGCCCAAAGAAAAGAAAATCCCAGTCTATGGGTAGGAAGCAGCAGGGAAGATGGGACCCTGTTTCTGCCAGCAGCCCTTATCCAATTCTTGGGCCCCTCCACAGCCTGGCGGGCCTTTAAGTGGCAGGACTCTCGGCCAAGCGCAGGTTGGAAACAGCTGCTCTGTCGCAGGGCGGGAGGACGGAAGGAGGTCTGGGGAAGCTTCTTTTCCTCCATCTTTTCCTCCAGCTAGAGTACGATTGAGCTTGAAGGCGTGGCAGGAGAAAGGGGAGACGGAGAGCCTGGAGAGGGAGTGGCCGGTGGTTAGATGGAGAAACACGGGAGCAGAGCAGGAGGGGGAACGGCCGGGCAAAGTAGGAAAAGAAGCCTTGTCTAGGATGGAAGTGGAGAGTAGGGCTGTGGCTACAAAGGTGGAGAAGATGCCGTCTTGGCCCTGCCCGAGTCTGCTATTTCAGGGAGGTCTGAAGGAGAGGCGAAGAGGAGTAGGTCACACCCAGCGGACCTCCCGAAGCCCAGCGGCTTATCACTAGACAGGCTCGTCCATTCCCCCAAGAACTCAGCAAGGGCCGGCTAAGCGCCTACTAGGTGCCCGGTGTCCAAGGAAGCGCCCTAGAGAACCAGGGCGCAGGAGGCGGAGTCGGTCCAAACGGCTTCGCGGAGGAGCGAATTCCGTAGTCGGCGGTGCGGAAGGGTGGCGGTGCACAAGGGTGGCGGTGCACGCGTGCTGGCCGGGCGAGCGCAGAACGCGAGGCAGGCCGGGGAGGAGGGGAAGGAGGCGGGGAATGTACCCGGGGGCGGGAGGCTGGACCGGGACGGCTCTAAATTGGCTCGGAGGGGCCCGTCGGCGGCGAAGTTGCTCGCTGGGGGCAGAGACGGCCACGCGGTTGCAGGAGTAAGCGATCCCCCTGTGGCGAGTGCGTGAGACGAGGAGTCCGGCGTCCCCGCCAGCCCCGTCGCCCTCCCCGCCGGCCCGGCCCCGCCAGCTCCCCTCCTGGCCTCCGCGTGTTCCCTCGCCGTCTCCCCCGGTTCGCTCCTGCCGCGTCCCCTCAACCCTCGCCCTGACCCTCCCGGCCTCCGACTTCCCCCCAACCCTGCTTGCTTCGCCACTGCCCCTGTTCCCCTTTTCTTCCCTCGCTAGTTACCCCTCCCCGCCTCGTAATTCCCGATGCAATTGCCTCTTTGAGACCTTTTTTTTTTTTTTCCTCTCCTTCCTTTTAGATTGGCCAACGGCTCGTTTCCACCCTGCCTCGTTGGTGGCCACTGGAGAAGCGCGGGGGGCTCCCCAGGCAGCCGTAGGGACAAATTAGAGCCAGCACTTGGCCCCGGGCCTCGCGTGTAGCTTCCCGTCCCCTGCTCTAGTTGCCCCGGTGTCCGGAGGGGGGTGCGGGGGCGGGGGTGTGCCCTCCGTATATGTCCCACCACCCGGGCCACCCTCGGGGCTTGTGTTCCATCTCGCTCTCGCTTCCTGCACGGTGGTCGTGGGGAGCCACTTTGCATCATGTCCCGGTATAGCTACCAAAGTCTCCTGGACTGGCTCTATGGGGGCGTGGACCCCAGCTTTGCGGGCAATGGGGGCCCCGACTGTGCTGCCTTCCTCTCTTGGCAGCAGCGGCTGCTGGAAAGTGTGGTGGTCCTGACCCTGGCCCTGTTGGAGATCCTGGTGGCCCTGCGGCACATCCTGAGGCAGACGAAGGAGGACGGTAGGGGTGGCGGTGGCTGCCAGCCAGAGCAGGTGACCCAGCGGCCAGAGGAAGGCAAAGAGAGCCTGAGCAAGAATCTGCTCTTAGTAGCCTTGTGCCTGACCTTCGGGGTGGAGGTGGGCTTTAAGTTCGCCACCAAGACCGTCATCTACCTGCTCAACCCCTGTCACCTGGTCACCATGATGCATGTGAGTCTGTTGACTTCCCCCACCCCTTCCCGGCAGCCTCACGGCAGCCTCAGTCAGCAGAGTCATTTGTGTGCTGAGGACACTTGGCCGTGTAGAGCACCTCACCCCTGCGGGCGGTGGGACCCTTAAAAAAGATTTTCCACCGAGTGGCTGTTTGGGTGCGGATTTCAGATTTGGCTTCCTTCCACCTTTGCACAATACGTCAGCCCTACGGTGGTGGTGAGCCCTGGGAAAGACTAGCACTCAGGCTAGCGGCCCCTCCCCTCCCAGGCCTACCCTGGCCTTTTGCCAGCAGGAAGTCTGACCCCAGCCAGGTTCCCTTTCTGGATCACCAGAGGGGGGCCATGGGCCAACCCACCCCCCCATTCCCTCTGCCACAGTTAATTTCCCAGAGGCCTGGTGGCTTTCTTTCCTGGAGCTGGTCACAGAAGGTTCCGGTCTCTACTGTCATACTTGAGGGAAATACTTTTGTAGGTTTCTCTTAATAACTCTTTCTTTTGGGAGTTTAGGGTCTTAGGCTGAGGCCTGCCTTTTGAGTTCTGAGGTGTCAGAGCAGCACCAAACTCCGACTCACTGCACTCTGAAGCAGACCCCAGGCAGACTCGTGAACTCTTCTCTGTCCGTGGTGAGAGGGTATTTATTTCCTGCAAACCTCTCCATCTTATCACTCTCATTCTCTCTCCTGAGGTCCAGGAGTGCCCAGAGAGCTGATTTCTTTATCTCCCATTAGTGGTGCTAAGAAAAACAAATGAGATTGAAAAGGAAAGTTGCCAGATACATAAAAATAATCTGGGTGAGGACCAACCAAGAGCAAGACTGTCTTTTTGTACTCAGCCTGGGTAGAGAGATGATCTAAAACTATAATATCACGGAAGGGTAGGAAGAGGAGGAGGGGGTGGGGTGGGGGGCTGTCTCTTTAGATTTCAGGCTGTGGAAAACCTGGTGTGTTTTATTCAGGGACAGTTGTGAAACCTGTCATTAGCATCTTTATTGCTTTTATATTTGTAGAAGGTTGTTCTCAGGAGACTTGTGACAACCTTGTGTGGGGCAGGAGGTTGAGATAATTGTCTTGGTTTCACAGGCCTGGCGGGGGACTCGGGGATGGGAGGTTGCTCGCTTGCAACCAAAAGATGAATTAGCTTTCTGGGTTGGAAAGCTAACCCACCCTCTTTGGGGTTGCAGAATGCAGAGCGGCAGTCTCTGGGAGGCCGATGCTGATCAGCATGGTGCTGCCTACTTATGCTGTGGATGCTTGCTAGCTCTGTGTTGTAGGAACTCCTTGGATGGCAGGTTCTTGGCCTCAGTTTCCCAATCTGGAAACTGTGGTGAATGACCAGAAACCCCCTTCAGTCTTGCAGATGTGGTAAGGAGGTGTAGACAGATTTGGAATAAAGCAGCTCTTAGTGATGGGATGGCTCTAAGCGTCCAGTAGGCTTGGAGTGGGTCGCATTTTTTTAGAGGCCTTCTTGGGAAGTGATGCCATTCACAGGAAACCCAAGGGCTCCCCCAGTTAGACCTTCTGTGTAAATTTGAGCCTGTCTGCTTTCTTTTTTTTTTTTTTTAATGAATGGGCTTTTTGTTAATGAAAGGAAACAACGCATCTCAGCCACTGCTATGTGAGGCTCTTGGGACAGGAGTGCTTTTTTTGGATGGCAGGTGGTGAGGGTCAGAGGGTGCCTCTTCGACAAAGGGGTCTTGAGGCCTCTGACAACCACATATCTAGAAGGTCAACAAAGAACTAAATTCAGCCCGATTGGGGCTGCTGCTGGGGTGATGACGTCAAACCTGGCAGCACCATGGTTTTCAGTGGAAAGGTTTTTAGAGGCTTTTAGAAGACTCTGGAGGCTTCGTTCTGGCATTAATTAGTTGTGTGACTTTGGGAAAGTACTTGTCCTGGCTCTCAGTTTGGCTGGCTGCAAAGCGAGGCAGAGTTGAATTTCTAGGTCTTGACAGTCTGTGTGCTGTGCTGCTCTCCTCCATAAGCAGTGCCCGGGGTGCCACACAGAGCTCTTCTAGAAGTGGCTTTTGGTCTCCTCGCTGATTTCAGGTGGTCATGGCTCATCCTCTCACCTCCTCTTTCGCTCCCTGTGTCTTTCCCGTAAAGTAAACCTGAGAAGGCCACCCTTAGGGATCCGTGTAGATGACGTTGGCCCTCGGGCTGAGTGCTGCAGAGAGATGGATGTTTGGGCAGCTGTGGACTGATTCCTGTCACTGTGCTTTTGCTGTTGTCCTGTGCTTAGCTGAAACTCTTAAAATTAAGCTAGGTGGTGGGGGCAAAGAACAGTCAGGCTGAGGAATCCTTGAGACCAAGCAGGATTCTACTGCTTTCTTTGCCCTTTACTCCCAAGTTACTGCTTTGTGTCATTTAAATAGAAACCTCTGGCCTGCTGGGGGACTTAGCCTTTGATGAATCCAACATTCCATACCTTACCTATGGTCTCATTGGAAGCAGGGACATGCGGATTTTTAAAAGCTGATGTGAATCTTTAAAAGAAATATTACAACAGATGGTTGGAAACAGTTCTCTAACTTGGCTACAGTAATGACTAATGATAGTAAGTATGGTTAGTATTTGGGCTTCCCTGGTGGCTCAGACGGTAAAGAATCTGCCTGCAACGCAGGAGGTACAGGTTTGATTCCCGGGTCAGGAAGATCCCTTGGAGGAGGGCATGGCAACCGACTCCAGTATTCTTGTGGGAAGGATCCCATGGACAGAGGAGCCTGGGGGGCTACAGTCCATGGGGTTAGTATTAATAATACTTTACATCTGTCTAGCTCTTAACTTTTTTTAAATTTTCTTTTCATTTATTTTTATTAGTTGGAGGCTAATTACTTTACAGTATTGTAGTGTTTTTTGTCATTCATTGACATGAATCAGCCATGGATTTACATGTATTCCCTTAACTTTTATAAGACCCTTTCACACGCACTATCTTCTTTAGGGTTATGCTGGATAAGCTTGATCCCGGCCATAGAGATGTTAAAACGTATCCTGTGACTGTGTGTGTTCCAAAGGGGAGGTGTTGAGCACAAAGAAATACTTTGGCAAGTGAATTAGCTGAGTTAGGCTATATCATGGCAGTAAATTCTGTGAAGTTCAGGGGTCCTGAAAAGGAAAGGGAGACATTAGCTGAATTGAAAGCAGGAGCTTAGCAGAGACATTTCTGATGTGTGTCTCTCAACAGGATGACTCAATTATGGCTTTATAGAAGGCCTTGTTCTGCAGAGGCAGTATAAGTTTGTAACAAGGGCAGTATTACTTTCGGCCAGGAAATGGAAGCACTGGAGGGAGAATGACTAGTCTCCTTACCTCCCATTTTTCAGTCTGTAAAATATTTACTCCCAAGGCCTTTGATACACAGACCCTCCTCATAGCCATGCTGCCTTTGGGTGACCGCCAGCTTTAGAAGCACAGGACAGGGTACTTCTTGTGTCCGAGTTCTGTTCTTCAATAATATTCCTGCTGTCAGGTTTCTTTTTGGCCTCTCTGTTATCTCAAGGGCCCTGGAACCTGGGACTGGTAGAGGTTTGTAGGATTAAAGCAGCACCTTCTCACATCTAACTTAAGCCGGGGATGCTTGAGGGTTCTTGGAATCAGCAAGCACCAGGATTAACGCACCATTGTTAAACCCCTTGCTGAATATCAGTGGTGTTTACCCATTAACCAAAAAGTATTTCTTCAAGCGTGGCTAGCTAGTCCCCTGTGCATAATATTTTCGTAGGTATGGGTGACACGGAATGAATTTACTTACTGTTTATGCTGTTTATAAAACAAAACAAAATGGAAATCACACTGCCAGCAAGGTACTGGCAGGGGTGGCTTTAGAACCCAGCTGCCAACAGTGGGAATTGGGGCTTTAGCAGGAAGAGATTCTCATAGCTATTTAAGTCCTAAAATCTTCAGTTTCTTAGCAGAAGGGTTAAAATGCCAGTTTGACTGATTGTGTTCGTAAAAACTCATGGCCTTTTATCCTTTGCATCTAGTTAGATTGTCTCTGTCTTAGGAACTTAAGGCAAAGATCGAATTTTGGATGTCTTGTCTAATTGTCCACTTCCGGTTGGTTGTGTATATGTCTATGTCAGTATCTCCCAATTGGGCCCTGAACTTAGTGGGACATAGCATATGCCGTTTAACCCTCTGTGTCTCTGTGTATAAGGCGCTCTAGATCTCAGCTGGACATTTGCCAAATAATAATTGATGCTATTGACCCCTGAGCACCAAGCCTCTGGTTTTTATCCTTTACTACCAAGTGAGCCCATCCTTATTTTTAGCGTTAGCATTGCTATTTTATTTTTCAGCTATTAGAAGGCTGATGTCCACTAAATATGGCTAACCTGCTTTTGTCTCACTGTTTCTTTTCCTACTTCACTCTTTGCTGAAAGCACAGAATGGCACATATTCAGAATGGCCCTGAGCTTTTTGTGACACCTTTTGTTTGTTTTTTTTTTCCCAATTATTTTTATAAGTTGGAGGCTAATTACTTTGTGACACCTTTTGGAACTCACTGAATGTACATGGATATGTTCTATTTGCTCTGTGATGGATTTGTTTTAGAGAAAACCTGATAGATTTGAGAATTAGGCCTTTTTGTCCCCTGCCTCCTTGACTTCACACCAACCACACCTCTTCATCCCCATCTGTTGTCTGGAGCACTGATAACTGCCCTGGTTGCAGTTGATGTTGGTGGGTAATGGGTGCAATGAGGGATCCAGCCAGCTGCTGGCTTATCAGATGGATTGTGTCCTGTGTCATCAGTCCAGGGGGACACAAGGGGGTGATGTTTATATGGGCCTCAGCAGCGAGGCATGACATTCCTTTTTAGTTTGCTTTATATTCTCCCCCAAGGAAATTTGCAGAGAATTTTTCCATCTTTCATTGTTACAGTCTTTGGCAGGGTCCCTTCCATTATAAGGGAAGTGGTGTGGATTGGTGGATTAAACAACCCACAGACAGCCCTGGGATTTAAAATGATGATACCAGTGTTGCTTGTCGCCTGGTA